AAATGAGCATGGAGATAAAGACCAGGACTTAACATGAGCAATGGAGAGTGGCTATCCAAGGTAGAAAAACAATTTGCCATCCCCAGCTATGCAACCTTCTATTGAATTACTTAGATAGAATTTTTGGTTTTCTAATCTAGAAAATAAATATAGTTATATCCATCTCGTATGGGTTACTATGAGGAGTATGTTAGTAAGGCATCAGGAGTAATATCTGACATGTAATAAGCACCAGGCAGCTCTTCTGCTAAGTGAAGAGACAAGGCACCTAGTGTCTCCTTTGAGGAAATGCCCAGAGGAGATCACCACTGGGTGGGACAATAGTCTAGTAAACTAGAGGTCTTCCAGACAAGAGGTTTTTAAAAATGCAAATTATTCTCTTGGGGGATCTTACTCTGCCTGAATTATATCTTCTATTAAGAAAAGAAGTCACTGGGATGGGCTCTATATTTTCATTCCAAATAAAATTCTCTAAAAAAAGAAAAAGAAAGAAGCCATTCTGAAACAAACAGCCCGAGAAACCTTCTCTGTTAAGGGAAGCCCACCAAAAGATGGAGACCAGAAAGCCTCAGGAATGGCCTAGCCCAGGTTCCAGGACCACAGGGACTACTCCTTTGTAATGCCCTCATGGGGCCTCTAACTATTTACACACACTGCCGTACACTCCTTATTCCTAAAGGAACCACCTAATTATCTTTGAAGGCAACACAAAAAGACATGGTTCACTGTGAAAGCAGTATTCTGCAGTCTGCGACAGGAGAGAGGAACAAAATGAGAAGTGGCATTTAGCAAGAAAAGAGGAAAGCTATACAAAATTATCCATTATTATGACATTAATTTACTATTTAGGAAATGTCATGTATAAAAGGTAACTAGAAAAGACTCAGGAAAAGCAACGCTTTTGTGGACGAAAGGGGCCACATGCGAGATGGCCATGCAGGCCTCCCCTGAGCTTGCCAGGTCAGCATGTGGCCCCTTTCGTCCACACTTTCTTGTGAGGTTCCTGCAGGCAGATTAACACCTGGCAGCCAATGTGGGAGGAATCAGGGTTTGTTGTCTGTTTTTCCTCAGTCCTAAAGTAGCTAGAAACCAACATCTTGGCTTTGATCTAGAAAATATCTATTTCTCGCTCTACCCATCTGGAGTCTGATATAAAAATACACACATACACATTTTGGAAATCTGTAAATATGAGACATGGTATGGTGCTGGCGAAGGTTATAGAGCCAGAGTCCCAATCCAAGCACTTGCACTTAATATTTATATGACCTTGGGCATGATTTGGGAGTTGAGTGTCAATAATAGAAGAGATAGATAAGCACATAGACTGATCGATAGGCAGATAGATAAAATATTGTTGCGTATTATTTAGAGCTGTTAGAGGATTAAATTAGATAAACCATGATAAAAATTTAGCACAGTGCTTGACATATAGTATGTGTTTAATAAATATTAAATATTACTATTATTATTATTGTAACATTATTTATCCACAAAATAACTCATCTTAGTAGAAAATCATATTGCTAAAAAATATGTACTAAGCTAAGACAATATTATAAAAGAACAAAGTCAGAGTGCTGGTACTACCAGATTTCATGACTTACTATAAAGCTGCAATAATCAAAACAGTGCTATTAGTGAAATAATAGACAAACAGAACAATGGTACAAAATAGCCCTGAAAACGGACCCAAACAAATGCAGTCAACTGACTTTTGACACAGGAACAAAGGCAATTCAATGGAGAAAAGATAGTTCTTTTAACAAGTTGTTTTGGAACAACTAGACATCCTATATGTAAAAAAAAAAAAAAAAAATGAGTCTAGACACAGACCTTAAATCTCTCATAAAAATTAGCTCAAAATGCATCAAAGACCTAAATATAAAACACAAAACTATAAAATGCAGAAGAAAATCTAAGTGATCTTGGGTTTAATGGTGTTTTTATTTTTATTTATTTTTTATTTTATAAATATATTTTTATTGATTCAGAGAGGAAGGGAGAGGAAGAGAGAGAAACATCAATGATGAGAGAGAATCATTGATTGGCTCCCCCGCTACTGGGGATTGAGCCTGCAACCAGGCATATACCCTTGACTGGAATCAAATCCGTGACCCTTCAGTCCACAGGCCTACGCTTTATCCACTGAGCCAAACCAGCTAGGGCTAATAATGTTTTTAGATAAAACACCAAAGGCACAGACCATGAAAAATGAATAGGTTGGACTTAATTAAAATTAAAAATGTTTCCTCTGCAAAAGACTCTATTCAGAGAATGGAACAACAGTCATAGACTGAAGAAAGTATTTGCAAAATATATATCAAATAAAGGACTGGTATCCACAATATTCACAGAACTCTTAATACTCAACATGGTGAATACATGTCTTTATACATTTGTCCAATCCCATAGGAAACAAATAACTGCTGAATAATGGGCAAAAAGAGAAACAGACACCTCACCATAGATGATACATATGTGGTAAATAGAGATATGAAAAGATGCTCAACATCATATGTAATCAGATAATCTCAAATTAAAACAACAGTGAGATACCACTACACACCTATTAGGATGGCCAAAACACTGACAACACCTAACAATTGAGAGGATGTGGAGCAGCAGGAATTCTCATCCATTGCTAGTGGGAATGTGAAATGACACAGCCACTTGGGAAAACAGTTGGCAGTTTCTCACAAAGTTAAATAATCATACAACCCAGCAATCATGTTCTTTGGTATTTATGCAACTGATACGAAAACACACCAAAATCTGTACATGGATGTTTATAGCAGCTTTTTCATCATTGCCACAACTTAGAAACAACCAAGATGTCCTTCAAATGTATAGATGGATAAATATACTGGTAGATCCAGACAAGTAAATACTATTCAGTATGCAAAGCCATAACTATCAAGCCATAAAAAGACATGGACAAACTTTAAATGACTATTACTAAGTGAAAGAAGTCAACCTGAGAAACCTACATACTGTATGATTACAACTATATGACATTCTGGGAATGAAAAAACTTGGGGACAGTAAAAAGATGAGTGGTTACCAAGAACTTGGGGAGAGGGAGGAAGGAATGAATAAGTGAGCACAGGGCAATTATAGGGCAGTGCCACTATTCTGTCTGATATGGCAATGGTGGATACATGTCTTCGACATTTGTCCAAATCTTTAGAATATACAACATAAAGAATAAATCCTATTGTAAAATATGTACTTTAGTTAATAATAATGTATCAATATTGGTTCACCGATCATAACAAATGTACCACACTAACACAAGATGTTAAGAATAGGGGAAAGGGCGGCACACGGAGAGTATATGAGAACTCTCTGTACTTTTTACCTAATTTTTCTATAAACTTAAAACTGCTCTAAAAATTAAAGGCTATTATTTTTTAAAAAATGTACTAAGGAGTGAATGCAAGGAAGTTAATAGCATAGTCAGGAAAAGGCTGAAATACATGAGAACTAGAGAGAGAAGAGAAATGAAGCTGAAAAAGATACTGAAAAACTTCATCATATCCCATGTTATGGTATGAGGATTTTAGTGTAGGTCAAGTTTATTTCAAGTGATATGGTCAGATTTGGCCTTTAGAAAAATAACTTTCTTGGCAACAAATATGAAATGGAGTGAAAAGAGCTTAGAGGAAGAAAATGTAAAAGGCTATTGCACCAATCCAAGTCGGAGGTGATGGGACCCGGTTATGGCCAGACAGAGTTCCAACCTTATTCTAATGTCTTGAACTTTTTGAACTCAAGAAAAAACGAATCATCTCCATGGGAGCCAGAAGAGAAAAACATTGTCATAAGAAATTTGTTAAAAAGCTACGGCTATAGATAACTTTGAAATTTCCTTCCCTTCAATAAATCATGAAAAATAGAATAGATTCTTTTTCACGATATGGGCAGTGTAGCCTGGAAGCAGAGGAGTGATTATACAGGCTTTGGTAGATAGTCTCCTAAGAACATATGAAACATGTATTTGGTGTTATCCTTAACTTTGTTTCACCAGAGTTCTTTTAGAAAATAATTAGCTATCATTGACTATATAAATCCCTGCTTCTCCTCCCTGAAGCAAACCACACAGAGTTTTCCTTATGTGAAATAACGCACTTCCATTATCACTGCCACAATTCAAACATCTGTCTATCTGATCTTGCGACCACTGACCTGGGACTCAGGTTTGAATCTACTGCATGTTTTCTCTACCCACAGCATCTAATTTGGAGAGTAATATTCTCCTGTTAGGCAGTCATACAAGCTTCTCATTGAACCAGTTCCAGCTACTCCAGAGGTTGACTATCTTTTTGAAGTGTCCCTTCCCCCAGCAGAATGTCCACAGTGAATTGTATAACAGCCACATATCCTATAGTCTCACTGCCAAATTTGGTGACATTCTATTCAGCTACTTTTTGGTGATACAGTATCAGATAAACAGGCAAACACGGAGAAGTGCCATTTTACAGATGTAGGTCAGGAGATTGTAGCTTATAGAATCTGAGTAGTGATAAGAAGAAACAATAAAGGTTTGGAAGTTTCCATTGTGGCAAATGGGTAAGAGGTGATGTAATTAACTCAAATGAGGGGCAGATTTTAAAGGATGAGTTTCATTTTGGACACCCTCAGTTTGAGGGACCTGTGGAAATTTTAGGGTTGAGGAGTTCAGTAGGCAGTAAGAAATTAAGGACTAGAAAATGAGAAGAGGGGAACTGAAAATACGTAGCAGTCACTGATACAGAAGTAGAGACTGAAGAAGTAGATGAAAGTGCCCAGTAGATTGGCAATGACGAGAGGAAGAGTGTCTAGGTCTATATGAAGTTTGAAAGAGAAACTACAGATAGGGGGGAAAAAATCTATTGTTTTGGTAAAAGTGAGAGAGGATCTGGAGGGATTAATAGGAAAGAATGAAAATGGTGGGAGGAATACTGCAGGGGCAGAATATCTAAATGTGGTAATTCACTGAGGAGTCAAAAAAGATTTCAATGTTTTGATCTAACAAGGCTTGAAGGAAGGTAGTACTATGAACTCATTCATTCATGAAAAAATGAATAGAGTACAACCTATGGGCTAGGTACTGTGACATGGACCAAAGTCCAGGGGATGAGCATGCTTTATGAAAAAGTAATGAATCTTCCTAGGTTGAGTTTGAGTGTCTCTGAGTCAGGAAGGTGAAAATGTCTAGCAGATAGTAACCAAGAAGAAAGGTCAAGCAAGGCTAGAGATTTCTTCACAGAGGTAAGAACTGAAGTCCCATTCAAAAATGAGATCACTATGGGAGAGAAGAAAGGAACACTTCTATTGTTATGTACATATACTTAGACAGTTATCTATAGATAAATAGGACAAGGAGGAGAAACAACAAAGATGGAGAAAGTATAATTGTACAATTAAGAGAGCTAGGAAGAAGTATCATGGAGGCAATGAAGATAACATTTTCAAGAGGTGAGCAGGCTGCAGTTCATACCCCACAGGCATATAAAAAAAACTGAGATAAGAGGGGGAAAACACTGAATTTAGCCTTCGTGAAAGAGTTAGGACAAAGGACCATGGGAAGAGCCGGTGCTCAGAGTAGGGATTTTTCGGTTAGTGGAAAAGAGAGTTATTTGTAAGGCCACAATAATGAACCAGTGATGATAGAGAAAATAAAAACATAGGGGGAAAGGGGATAATTAATAGGAAAATGGTCTAGATTGGCAATTCTCAACCTTTTTCATCTCAAGGCATAAACTAATTACTAAAATTCCGAGGCACACCCAAAAACGTATTATATATTTTACTGATTAAAAAACAAATAAGTATAATTGTGATTCATTCACCCGGGATGGTTATTGTTGTGTTGGCCGTTCTTTTTTTATATATATTTTACAATCTAAGGGAAAAGAGGTAAGTGCCCGTGACTAAACACACTGTTTAAAAAAATACTGCATGTTTTTAAATGTCCTCGAATACCCTTGCGGCACACGGGTTGGAAATAACTGGCCTAAGGAAGCCAGACAATGCGGATCAAAAGAGTTGGGCAATAATCAGGCAGCAAATGCCTTCACTCTGAGGCGAATTAGCTTCACTTGTAAGGACTTCAGAACTCTGATGTGGAGTATTTCCCATAAAAGAGCAAGATCTCTTTGCACTGTCTTTTTTATGTCTTTTATTCTTAGGTGCACAGTGTTCCTATGGAGAGGATGGCCTCCAATTCCCCAGCGAGAACTCTCCAGGATGTTAGCTCCTCCTGTGTAACATTAAGCAGCAGGACTGGCAACAGATGCTGTATGTATGTGGGATGATCACCTTGCAAAGAAGAAACTTGCAACAAAGAGACAATAATGTCTAAGGAACTGTGGGGGAGGGGCAGGCGTATGTTGCTCTCTTATTTAAAAAAAAAAATCTCTGGGAACTTCAGGGACAAGATGAAAATAAGGAAACCAAGGAATTTGTCAGACCTTTCTACCTGTTAATTCTGCCTGCGTTGTTTCTTTCTGTTCTCAAATGCACCCTAGTTTTTCTCAAACTCGAACCCCTTGCTGTTTCTTCTCTCATTCCCAAGTGGCTGATGTATTGTTTTTATGTGTTTGCTCTTGTTTCTTCATCACCTGGAAATACAGAGCAAGAGATGTGAACGCGCCTCACGGTGCTGGGAGTGCCACAGGACACCCACACAAGTTTACAAGGACTCCCAAAGTCCTTGCCCAAGTCCTGTCTTCCAGCAGCGACCCACAGCCCCACGAAGCGGAGCCCGGAGCGCACGCCCTGACAGCAGCGCAAGCCCCCAGCCCAGAGCAAGACTCCAGGGCTGCTCCGGGCTAACGGCGCTGAGAACCTGAGAACCCCCCTCTGGGGCTGAGCTCTCCCATCCGCCCCTGGCCGAGCAGCTTAAAATGAAGTAGCCCTCCCCGCCTCCAGAAGCTCACCAAAGGCTGCCGCACCGAGCGAACGCAACGCCTGCCCGCGTCCACACGCAAACAGCACCGGCACGAGACCGGCTGGGCGGGGAACAGAGGCGCACGGCG